TGCAGGAGAGCAGCCGCCTTTCAAGGAACAACAACACAAGTCGCATTTAGTTGTTTGACCCTTTGTTTCTCATTTCATGTTAATCAATCAAAATTCAGATGGTTCTTCCCACATTTCTCAACCCATGCAATACACGTTCCATGATTATTCAATCCGAATAAATGTAAAAATATTCCATAAGTTATGAACTAAGTTGACTATTATAATAGTAATTTATTTCTACTTGAATAGCTATTGCTATTGTTTCATATAGTTTAGCTCATTCGAGCTTGTCTAGTCATAGCGAGCTCATTTTAATATTTAAGTTTATATCAAAGAGTATATCTCAATATTTGGATTCTCTAGCTCGTATGAACTTATCTCCATATTTGAGTACACAATGATAGCTCCTCCAAGCTTAATTCTATTACACTCTTATATAATCTCAAACATAGTGGAGCATACCATCTTATGTAATTTATATTATTTATAGCACGACTCTAAAAGAATCACATATTATATACATGGAGGAGAGACCTTGCAACCACAATGACACAATCCTACAATAATCCTATCATATATATATATATATATATATATATATATATATATATATTTATATTTATGTATACAGTGACCTTACAATATTAGGACACGACACTACATACTATAATAATTATAGCATATACATATAAGGAGTGACCTTGACACTATTAGAACACGACGTTACGAGAATCACATCATATACATGTAAAGAATGACTGTCAACCCGGTGTTTGTCTAACTGGGAATGTACTTGCACTAAATAAATTTTATGTTCTCTTAGTAAATAAATATAATAAATGTATAAATATTAACTGGTTTTCTTATCTTCCACGTTCCACCTATCAAAAGTCATTGACTTTTGCGTACAGCTCAGAATATGACGTCAAAAATTACATCAACCTTACCTAATTTAATAAGGATATTACAAGATCAAATTTTAAAATTCATTGATTTTCTTTTGAATATTCTAAGGGTGTTTGATAATTATTTTTAATTTAATTTTCCGTTTTTAAAAATAAAGTTATATATTTTCAACCGTATTTTTTTTATTACTTATTAAAAATATTTAAAAAAATGAAGTAAAATTTTATTTTTGATTTTGGAATTTAACTAAGAATTAAATATTTTTGCAAAAAGGCATGGGCACTAATTGGTTGGGCTTATTTTGCAGGCATTTTAGGTTTCAAAGAAAGGTTCGACTAAATCGTGCTCTAATATTGATGCTTTGTTTGATTCTTGCACGAACAGTTGCAACTAGGCTGACTTAACCTCCGATGCAGCCTCGGACAAGACTAAATCAAAGAGTTGAATCTAAGTGAACTATTGAACCCGGTACCAATCGAGATAAGGGACACATTACTCCGTCCTTCGATTTATTCTACCATGTCAATTATGACTTTGGCAATAAGACATCAAGGAAACAAAAGGGACTCGTTCACTAATGAAGCAATACTACCGTAACTAAGCTGGACACTAGTTTAGTTTAAGCATTAACATAAACATCGAGGCATATGGAGCGCATCACTACAGTAGTGCACAAACCTTATTTGCAGGTCTATCAACTATACAACTAGATACCTAGACACAAAACCGGTGTAGACAAATCAACTTTATATTTGTTCCGTAAACGAAAGGTTCAAACCTACGTAAAATTAGCTATATAAGTATTTTATCGAAGTTTGGGAGGTCAAAATGCACAACCCTCCAAAGTTATTGTGTTATGTGGCATATAGAGAAGACTTAGGAACAAGTTTTGAGAATATGGAACCATAAATATGTTTAGCAGATTCCTAGGAATTACATGGACATTCATTCCTAGGAATGATAGAATTTTCTGTCCTTGTCGTTCCTAGGAAAATGATAATTGAATTTTCTTGCCCTTCGTGGGAATCGGGATGAACATCCAATGTATTTTTCAACGTCATGGATGTAAACATCATTGTTGGCTTTTTGAAGTTTTTTATTGACTAAAATTGTTTATCAACCTTCTAAAATTCTACCTTAGTGACTGAAACACGTTCTTCCAATGAGTCTTTTCTCGTGTTTCAAAATTGTTAATAAAAGTAGAGATCCACATTGAATCGAACAACTAGAACAAACCTAACTCGAATTATAAGAGTTGGGTTGGATTAATTTTCTGAAACCGAAATAGATTCGATTTGAATTTTGAGTTACTTGAACAAACCAAATTCTTATAATATACATTAAAGCGACTTGTATAATTGTTGGAAGGGTAATAAATAAAATATTTTTATAATATATATATATTTTTCGTTACTTATAATTTCTTTAAATTAATTATTTTTTATTGTTTTTTAATTTTAACATCTATGATTGTATTTAGGTTTAGAGTTATCAATTGCTGAGGAAGTCCTGCTATTTAGTTGTCTTTGGTTCTATATCAATGTTGCACTATGTTAGGATGTTGCAATTCTCATGTGTTATCAGAATCTATTTTTTTGAATTCTTATAAATTGATTTGAGTTTGTCTGTGAATTTTTAATATATTTTATTTAAGATTCTAATCCATATTTATGAACGGTGGATAAATAAGAATTAATTAATTAATTAAATTTTTTTTTTAACAATCCAACCGAACTCAAAAGTAGAAGGTTAGGTTGTGAAATATTTCGGGTTGGGTAAAAGTTCCCAATCCAACCAGCATGAACTCTTGGGTTGATCTAAAAAAATTTCTCAAGCCAACCCAACCCGATGAACTTTGATAGATGAAAGGCTGTTTTAAAATATAATTCTACTGAAGAGGAGAAAACAAAGAGATATTTTGGTGTAATCTTGAATTGCTTAAATTGAGAAAGGATGTAGATAAGCTTAATTGACTAGTCATCATCCACCATGTCCAAATCATAATTTTATATGAAAAAAAAAATCATCCTCCATGTGAACATATTATCTCATAATATCTTGTAATAAAAAATTAATGTAAATCAATTTAATCTATAAAATTTTTAAATTCAATCGGACGTAAATAAATTTATAATCCAGCTCAAATCATACAGTTAATTAGGATTTTGCTTAGAGAGTACGGAAATTATAAAAAATAAATAAATAAGGAAAAATAAGAAATTATGCAAATAATTGGATAAATTTTCCAAGATCAAACATTTGATTGGTCAACCCATAAAACAAAACTTGCAAAAAGGAAATAAACATTTTTTTTAAAAAAAAATTAATGTTACCAAAAATTCTGAGAATAAAAAATATAATAATAATAAAAATCCGGCCAAGTTGGGTCCGACAGCTGAACAAGAAACTCTTTTTCAAAGGAGAAACTAAGGGAGGGAAGAACTTGGCCCTCGTCTACTTGGGTAAATTTCATATCTTTTTCGTAAGGTCAAGACCGCTCGCCCTTTCATACAATTCTACGCGCTGATGCAGACGCAAAATACGTAAATACAAGCATCCCGTGATTCCAATTTCATTACAGATTTTTCCGTTGTGAATCCAAATTTCTGATTCGATATGGGTAATCTTCTTTGTTGTGTTCAAGTGGATCAATCCACTGTGGCTATCAGGGAGAGATTTGGGAAATATGAGGAAGTTCTTGAGCCAGGATGCCATTGTTTGCCTTGGTTTCTCGGAGCTCAGGTCGCCGGCAGTCTGTCTCTCCGGTTGCAACAATTGGATGTCCGATGTGAGACCAAGACAAAGGTACCATCTCTGTCTCACCATTCACCATCATATTAACTGTTCTACACAGCTATTTCTAAAGATTATTGGTTGAGTTACCTCTAAAAGAGAAATGACTATACCATGGTGTTCTGATTTCTTGGTTGTACTTTAAACAGAAATGGTCATAAGAAACTGCTCTGCTATACTGTCCTTGGAATTTATTTATCAATCTTAGGACTTGGGAGTTCCTTGTTGCTAAAATTTGAGGGGGATTTTGTTCTTTAGGATAATGTGTTCGTCAACGTGGTTGCGTCGATTCAATATCGAGCACTGGCCGATAAAGCAAGCGATGCATTCTACAAACTAAGCAATACAAGATCTCAGATCCAGGCTTATGTTTTTGATGGTATACTCCATTCCTTTCCTGTTAAACCTACAAGTTAAATGCGTTCTTCTTTCGTCATATTTGTGTAAGCTTGCTTGTTTTAAACTTTAGAGACTTCTTGAATATTTGTAGTAATTAGAGCAAGTGTTCCAAAGCTCAACTTGGATGATGCTTTTGAGCAGAAAAATGATATTGCCAAAGCAGTTGAAGATGAACTTGAAAAGGTAATCTTTTTTGGTCGTTCAATGAAGCAAATTCTAACTGTTTTGTAACTTCTGAATAATTGCTCTCAGGCTATGTCGGCTTATGGCTTTGAGATTGTTCAAACACTCATTGTCGATATAGAACCAGACGAGCATGTGAAGAGAGCAATGAATGAAATTAATGCTGGTACTAATCCAATCCCTGATACTCAAAAACTTGACATCTTTTTCCTTTTTGCCTGAAGCTTAGTTCAGGTCTCATTATTTAACTACTAAGATCCATTCAGCTGCTAGATTAAGGGTGGCAGCAAATGAGAAGGCAGAAGCAGAGAAAATTTTGCAGATTAAGCGAGCTGAGGGTGAAGCTGAAGCCAAGTATTTGTCTGGTTTGGGTATTGCTCGACAGCGTCAAGCAATTGTGGATGGTTTAAGAGACAGTGTGTTGGGATTCTCTGTTAATGTTCCAGGGACGACGGCAAAGGATGTTATGGATATGGTGCTTGTGACCCAATATTTTGACACCATGAAAGATATTGGAGCTGCTTCCAAGTCCACTTCTGTGTTCATACCTCATGGACCTGGAGCTGTTCGAGACGTCGCATCACAAATTCGCAATGGACTTCTTCAGGGTGCTTCTTCTTCTCACTAGTTCAAAACTCTATTTCACCAAGTTGATGGTATTTAGTGTGTGTTGTGGTTTTCTGTTTTCAAGTGTCATATATGTTTGGTAATTTACATTTGAGCTTTGGAAATTGTTCTTAATACTCTAAATACTAGTGGTTTCTCCAATAAATGTACAAATATATTTCTCTACAAGTAATTGATTCTAAAACATTCGATCATACTTAAATGAAGCAGCCACCTATCTATATACGTTATGAATGCGGCACTGTGATCTAAACAGGCAAAGCAAAACGAAGAATGAACTAACCATTTGCTGACTCAAGCCACAACCGGAAGGAACCTGATCGAAAAGCTTAGGCCTTTACTTTCCCAGACTACAGCTTCACCAATGAAACGTGGGTGCTCAAGCCAATTCCAGTTTAAGCGATCTGGTAACCTGCAAATATGCAAATCAAAGGTATAAGGTATGAAAATTGAGCTACTAAGTAGAGCATTTTCGAGACAAAAGATGCAAGTTCCAGAGTACCTGAGATATCTTGAGCTCCAATTCATCCCACTCCAAAGACGGATTACTTCCTTTTACTATCCCTGTTCCCGCATAGACCAAGGCACCATGACCCTATAATCAAAGACTGTAAGAACTCAGAGAATTGTAATGGAAATGATGTCTAAGCTCTAGAAATTTTAAATTCGAGTAAGGATTCAATGGAAGTATTTAAGTTTGTAGCTCATATGGTAGACGCCATCTTACTGTCTCCACTAATGCTGATCTGATGCCCACAGCAAACTCACTCTCTTCTCCTCCAAACCAACCAACAGGCCCGGCGTACATCCCTCTATCAAATAACTCTGCATAAATATCCCAAGTTCTTAAATGTATACAGAAGGATGAAGACGACTTAGATTTGGCAGACCACAGAATTACAAGACCCATAATCAGCATTTTGAAGGAAACCATCCATAACTTGGATTGGCTTGGGGAGCTAATAGAAAGGGTCACGCACTCATGAACCTTACCAGTTTCTGCAATTAAATCTCGAGCTTCCTCTGTTGGAAATCCACAAACCGCGGGAGTTGGATGAAGCGTTGATAAAATTTCAAACTTTTCAAGCAACAAAGTAGAGTTAGAGCGGTATATTCACGTGAGGGAAGTTTAGTTTACAGGGACATAAATATTTGGAGATTCTTACCTCATCATCCTTGGTTCTCAATCTGCCTGCTAGCTGGGCATACAGATGTTGAATTCTGGGAAGTTTTCTAACTGATTTATGTGGTTCAACGACTACAGCATCACATACAGCCTACAAACAGGATTAAGCTGGCTAAGAATCTGCAATATTCTCAGAATGTTGTCCTCTTCGTAATTGCCTATAAATTTCAGCATCTTATTGAGAAACCTATGTAAATGTTGTTTGGTGCTTGAAAAACGATGACAAAAAATAGAAGAAATTCACGGTTTGTAAGCACTGCAAATATCATTTTTCATAGCTCATAGCAGCCACAGACCAAACTTATATGGAGAGGAGTCCCACATTGGCCAATTAAGGAGAAGATTATGAATTTATAAGCAAGGAATACCATCTCCATTGGTATGAGGCCTTTTGGGTAAACCAAAATCAAAGTCACGAGAGCTTATGCTCAAAGTAGATAATATCATACCATTGTGGAGAGGTACGTGGTTCCTAACTTAGTCATTTCTACAAAATCCTTAAGTGTCAAACAAAAAAATTGTGAACCTCGAAGGTGAGTCAAAAGTGACTCAAGTGTTGAATAAAGAGTGTGCTTTGTTCGAGGGCTCTAGAGAAGGAGTCGAGCCTCGATTAAGGGGAAGTTTCATTTCATCGACAGAAAGCAAGATAGCAAAAGAGCAAGACTGAAGCTCAAACTTGCCTCTAACTTCCTTTTGATGGCTTCCCTCACAATCGAAAACTCAAGGTCATCCTTTGGGCTGCACATAGAAAGTAGAGTTAGTGAAAACTCCCGCCCGCAGCTCATTGGTTGAGGCAACAGGGTTACAGCATCATTGAGTAGAAAAAATAAGAATTTAGAGATGAGACCAACTTGGATAATAAATCTTGTTCTATTTTAAGGTCTTCAATAGCCGATTTGCCTCTAGCACGGGTTGCAGCTAAGGCCTCACATATAATACTAAGTCCTTCTCTATGGAATAGCCGCTCAGGCTATTACGAACATATCAAAGCCAAAGTTAGTAAGAAAATAAATATTACAAAACCCAAACGGGTAGGAAACTAATTGAAAACATCTTTAATGAGTACCATCTTCAGCCGGATCACAGATATTCCCCATTTTGAAATTAGGCAACAAAATGAAATGATTGACTGGAAGCGTATGAAATTTTGTTACATACCGTATTTCCTATGAAGGCAGGAGCATTGGCTGGCTGGACACAAAACTGATAAGAGCTTTCCCCCTCTTTCTGATACGATCAAAACTAGACTCAGGAAACAAAATTACTGCATAAACATGCAACCCATGCAATAGCTACCTGTAAACATGCAACCCATGTCACAGGATCAACATTTACGCTTGTCACTATTCGGGTACTGCGTGCAAGTACGACCTAAATATAATGCATAAGATTAGACAGCCGATTTTACTGATGAATAGAAACGAAAATAAATTTTTGGTAAGAGTGAAGAATTGGTGAGTGCCTTGGTAAGATCTGAGTCGCATTGGTCAATCGCTTGCAGCGCCCTGTTAATTGCACGATCCCAGAATGTTTTGGTGGGAACATGATTGTGGCTAAGTATGGATATCTGAGGAAGATCTCTTTGTACATTTACATTATCAGAAGAAACCTGAATGATAAGAAATTTACTAGGGAGTGATTATCTATGGGAGAATATCTTTCCTTTCAATGCAATGAACAAAGAGAATCAAAGTGAATCAAATAGTCGACCTGTTCGATTGTGGATTGAAGGGATTCAACAGCATTTTCCCAAGTCCAAGAACAGGCATGATCCCAAGCTACAGTAGCGGCAAGAATCGAGTCATCCTCGAACTCATCAAACTCAACCTGTGATTTTGGCGTCCATTATCCAATTGCGATAAACGAGATTGGAAAAAGAAGTCTGTACCTGAGGGACCATGAAGTAAAACGAGCCAAAAGGCTCCCATTCAGGCGATATGTTCGCACGTGAATCAAAGCGAATACCTCCAAAAGCACGAATCAGGGGGCATTTCTTTGAGAGGAACCTATAATTTACAGAATATTAGCCCAGGCATTTCATCGAACAGATGGCGGAGTGAATATAAATAGAGGCGAAATGAGTTTACCTCTTTATAGACGCCCAATCAGAGTTCGAAAACTGATGATGGCGGCAGAAGACGACTGCAGAGCCCACACCTGCGACGCTGGCGAGGCGGTGGTGGGCATTGGAGCTGACAGAGGGGAGAGGATCAGAATCAATGGCTCTGCTCCGGCCGGAGAAGAAGATACGAGGAAGAAGCAGAGGCTGAGAACAAAGCCAATGAATCGCCTTAATGTGCTGTTGGATTGGAAGCTGCAAAATAGTCAACCCTCGTTCAGTCTCAGAATGTGCACAAAGTCAACAGAATTTCAACTCAATTTTATTACTTTATTACTTTATTTGTTAGATTTTCTTTTCTTCTTACTAATTATTAGGTTTAGTTGATAATTATTAAAAAAGAAAATGGGTATTTATTTATTTATTTATTTTGGAGGAAAAGGTCTATTCCGGTTTAGGATAATCCCAGATGCCAAACAGAGGAGAGATAAGAAATGGGTGTATGATTAAATGTTAAAAAGATAATAATAATAATAACAATAATAAAAGAAAAAATTACCGCACGTGGCGGTTCTCATTCCACGTACATGGAAGAGATAAGAAATGCGTAATGCGAGGCATTTGAAAGAGGTCCAGGAGAGTTGGGAGGAGGCTTACTTGGAGCCGAATAATTCCTGAACTAAACGCCGGTTTCTCAGATTTCAACTTTGCCACCAACCCCCTCAGATTCTCCGTCGCCAAGCCCACCGTCGGAACCGCCGGGAAAGTTCGAGTCTCCATCGTCTCGACGGCGCCTCCGTGGTCTGCTCTGCACCCATCCATCGCCGGCGACTGACAAACCACCCCACCCCATCTCCTCCGCCACCGCCCTGGCCAAATTACGCGTGTTGGTATACGGCGGCCCGGACTCAGATGCTGGGCGAACCCAACACAGGGTCCGGTGGGTGACGTTTGAGAAGTGGAAGAAATAGCCTTATTAGGAATGCTCATTCTTACCCTTTTCTTTATTTGCTTACTTCTCTGAACCAAATCTTATCGCTCGCCACTCGCCATTCTCAAATGCCCATCACTTCAACTAGCATGATTGGGGTTGTGTTGATTGAAGTAATTTCGTACAAATAATCTTAATATATTTTATATATTTTTATTTGGCTCGATCAACCTGAAAGTTTTATTGACGAACTCGAAACCGAACCGACCCAGTTCCAGTTCTAAAAATGAACTCAATCCAAGGTTAATCCAACCCAACAAAATTCTTAATAGTTTGGGTTTTGGGCTGGGATATGCAATATTTTGAGGTGTCAAAAGCCCACCTTCGAAACCAAATTATTGACCCAAACCATTCCATTTCAAGAAATTGGTAATTATTAGGAAATAATTAAATGAATGATAAATTTAATTCTAAAAACAAAAGGTTAGTCAAAATTGAGATAACAAAACAATACGATTAGTCAACTCAACTCATTACATAATCAATTTTGACTAATTGGCATTGGAAAAAATTTTAATGCGAAAATAACCCTTTTTTCTCTTCTCAAATTCAACCAATTTATGTGACTTTTGATGACATATACAAATAAAAATGACAACATAATTTAAATATAAAGAGAATTGTTCATGAAATATGGATATTTTTACACATTTTTTGGTCAATTTATAAACTCTCCCTCAAGATTGGGGATAGGGGCAGAGAAATATGTAGACATAGGTTTGAAATAATTTAAAAGTGATTTGAAATATTTTGGTTGACTTGTTGAGTCTCGATAAGAACATCAATATAATTCATCTACAAGTTCTGATTACAAATCAGATATTGTTCAAGCTTACTCATTGTTACTAGATATTGTTCGTTTTGGTCCGTTACGTTTTAAAATGTATTTACTAAGTAGAGGTTTCCACACCCCTATAAGGAATGTTTTTTCTTCTTCTAATGAATATGGGATGTGGAAATCTCGGTTGGAGAGGAGAACGAAACATTCCTTATAAGGATGTGGAAACATCTCCCTAGTAAACACGTTTTAAAATTGTGAGACTGATAGCGATACTTAACCGATCAAAACAAACAATATTTACTAGCAGTGGACTTGAGATATTCGTTTTTTGTTTGATTGACGATGTTGAGAAAGAATGAGTTAATAACCCTCTTTCAATTAAGTTTAAGAATCATGTTCGGACAAACTTTGGTCGAGTCAAACTAACTTTTAGATTGCTAATGTGTCAAGTAAAGTAACTTTATTATTAAGATGTTTTAGTGCTAAATTTGGAAAAGGGTGTCAAACACATTTTAAACGTCATATTCGGATTGAAAATATCATCGACGTTCATGATCAATTTCATTTTTTTAGCATGATAAAAATGTTGTGAATTTTGTAAGGCCTCCCGTTACATAAAATTCATGCAATGTTTGATTGCAGGTCCAAAAGCTATAAATACGTAACGTGCATACGAATATGAAATTGATATGCACCTATATATAAGAGTGATACCCGCATTGATCTGCTTAGAATTGTTGCATGATTGCATAGTCTTATCTCAGTGGATTACTTACGGAATATTTTTTAAAAAAATTTAGACAATAATTAAAACGTAGGGAACGAGGTGATTAGTGGATAATGTCATAGAATCAATGGCGTGTTTCTAAGATGAAAGTTGTGTAACGGGACAAAATAAATAAATAAATTAATTAATTAATAAAGGGTCAAAAGCTGCCGTCTTTTTCTTATTCAACAAGTTGGCTTCTTCATTACACATAAAACGTTGAAAAACATCTTCAACACCATCAAAGTCCACTTCTCAAATCCATTGCCCTTTATCCTATCTAAAATAATTATAAATCACACGAATTATTTATTTGTCCCGACAAGTAATTCATACGGGGATTTGGTCAAATATAGCGTCCCGATGCTTAAAAACCCGTATTTCTCAAGTCAAATACGCAACTATATAACCCATGTCGTTAATTAACCATTATATAATTTATTAAATAATCACATATTATATCGTGTTCATATTAACTAATTACATTCTTTAATTTCGACTGCTTCAACTTTTATATAATTTTTTATTTAATTACAAAATTTTCAACGTTTTATATCATTTACTATTGATATGTCTCAATTAATACTTGGTTGAAAGTAAAAAGAAATTCATTTACAGTAATTATGAAAGAACATTTTAATACATATTTTATTCATCCACAATAATTGCTAGTCAACGGCTTCGATCCCGAGGTTGGTCAGCACAATATACGGCAAAATTATGTTGCCCTGCTTGACCGGGTCGGGTCGGGTCATTGCAAGGATTTTTACATTTTAATATCCACCATTATTCAAGTTCAACCATTAACTTATATATTATTTATTTATTTATTTATTTATTTTTCTTAACTTATAAATTTTTTATGGAAACTCCATCCTACATTATTTTTTCATCTAAATAAACATCTTCATCGATAAAAATTGTGTTAAGTTATTTAGTTAAGTTGACCCAGAAATAGGATCACAGTTCAACTTAATCCTACTTTACTTTTGTAACGGATGGTAGTGATGCAGGATGACTTGTGAATGTTTGATATTTGAGTTTTATGAGCTTTTAGTTATTAATGTAACAAGGGTTGAGTTGAAAACTTTATTCGAGTTGTTCGGGTTACAAATTCAACCAACTTGAAACTTTAGATTGGTCCAAAAGATCTTCCCGACCCAACCCGTGTAAACTTCTAATAAAATAGATATTTGAATATCGGAAGGTAAATAAAAAAAAAAAAAAACAAAAAACAAAAGTGGCATTAATATTGCATTGTAAGTAGGTAAGAAGATTGTATTGGATATGACGTTAAAAAAAAGGTCAAAGGCATAGACTGAAATAATGAGAAAGAAGGGCATTTGATAAGACTCAAATGCTTTGACCTAAGACAAAAGGAATGCAACATAACATAAGGACAAGACAATGGATGAGATGAGATGAGATGAGAAAGAAAACAACTAAGATTACCCATGGTAGCACACGGCATTGCCTACAACGTTGACCTTTGAACCAATCCCCATGTGACATGCATTCATTAATCAAACTTATATAATATATATATATATATAATATAATATATATTTCAAAAACCCTATAATTAGCAGCCAAGTCTTACACTCAGCCCTCTCTCCGGCCCTTGCGCCATAACCCACTTGAGTTTTATAATGTAAGTTGCAGAGTTTGTGAAAGGGGTGTGCTTCGATCTGTGTTGGATTTGAGGATGAGTTGAATCTCGAGTCTTTTTTTAAAAAATTATTAGGTTTTTTTTTTGTAGTTTTCTTGGGAACTAAGGGAAGAGGGAGAGAGGTCAAACAGCGCAAGTAATTGAAGAACAAAAGAAGAGGGTTTCATGGAGGCTCAACCTTTGCCAACCACAGCTGATGCAGTTCAATCAGCTGGAGAAGATGAAGAACATGCTCCCAAACATAAGGTAATGTTTTGTTCTTGAAATTTCTCCTTCATTCAAGCCTTGACTTCGAGGCTAATTTTGTTTTGTCTTTTGTTCAATTATTTGAGTTTGTGGAAGGAATCTTTCTTGTTTTTGTTTTTGTTTTTTGTAAAATAATATCAATAAACACGTAGCTTAATTTATGAATTTGAGATGGGTTTTGTGTTAATTTAATGAAGATGTATGAACAATCTATCATCAATCAAGCTATTTAATAAGTATATAGTTGAAACCCACATCAAATTTGATTGAATTAACTAAAAATGAAATTTTTGTGTGTTGATTGATCATTGATGGGTTTGTGTTGTATTGTTATGATTTGAACTTTTTTGTTGTTTTGAGTATTGAATAAGGTAATTAATTGGGTTGACGATTCAATATAGGTTCCTTTAATGGCTGACTTGGAGAAGCCTTCCATGGAGCCCCTCTCACTCGCATCTGCCTCTTCAACTTGGAAGGAAGAGGTAAAATGATAGCCAATTCAATTTCTAAGCTTTTGTACCTCGTAACGAACTTGACATCCACATTGACATTGACATTGTATCGTACGAGGTAATACAATGTTGAGAATGTTGTAAATTGTCATAAGAATATTAATTTGGTTTTTTAGCTTATAACCATTTTAATTAATATCTTATTTATTTTGGTTATTAATTTTTTTTTTATTAATATTTTACATGAATTATCCTTTTGTCGAGGAGGTTGAGGATATCGAAATTTGATTGAGTTTGTGTGTCACATTGTATTTTTTAGTGATGTTTGGGAAAAACTTTTGGTGAGAGACTTGATAGTGTAGGAGAATTTTTTTCTCTTTGAACTACTTAAATCTTTGTCTCTTTGTTTAAATTATGTTCCTTGGTGTTGTGAGTACATTCGATCTTGCTTCTTTTATCGGTATCATAGTTTTGTAGTTGTAGCATTTGGGCTCATAGCAAGTGGTATCAAAGCTTTGATGGTTGTATCATTTTTGTACAACCGAGAACGGTTAGAAATATCACATTATTTCCATTGGTATAAGGCTAGTAGAAAATAAATTGATACCATGGTGTAGATTCGTGATTCTTAACATTGTCATTTTGCGGAAGATTTGATAATGTGGGTGATTTGTTGGGTTTGAATGGCTAAATCTTTATTGGGTTTGTGGTATTTTAGGAGTTGAACATGAATTAACGAAGAAAATGGGTTTTTTTCTCCATGGATGGACAGGATCATGAGCATGAACAAAGACTAAAAATGGCGAAAGGTGAAATGAGGGAAGTGAAGGAAGAAAACCAGCGGCTAAAAAGGTGTTTGGATCAAATGATGAGGGATTACGAGAGCCTGAAAAGGCAATTCCATGATATGAGTACCATAAACAACGAGGCAGCTGAAGAAGTTGAGGACATGGTTTCACTGACATTAGGAAGATCCTCAAGCGACCAAAACAAGAACACTTGCCCTGAAAGAAAGCCAGATCTTCAGAACATTCAAAGTCCAGCCGACAGTGAACAAGGCAAGGAGGAAGAAGCCGGACAGACTTGGCCGCCGGGTAAAGTGTTGAAGGGGTTGGCAGCGCCGGCGACCGGAGAAGATGAAGTTTCTCAGCAGAATCCTCCGAAGAAGACGAGGGTTTGTGTGCGGGCTCGGTGTGATACGCCAACGGTTAGTGATTACAATGGAATTGTAGCAAATGTGTATTGATTTATGAAAAGGGTTTGAAATGAAGAACAATGTAATAATGTTGCGCAGCTGAACGATGGGTGTCAATGGAGAAAATATGGGCAGAAGATTGCTAAAGGAAATCCTTGCCCACGAGCTTACTATCGCTGCACCGGCGCACCCTCTTGCCCGGTTAGGAAGCAGGTACTTTTAATAAATGCTTCTGTAACCGTCCTACCCCACCCCTAATCGATGTTGTACTCTTTGAGTTTTCTTTTCGGGGTTTCTCTAGATGTTTTTAAAATCTGTTTGTTAGAGAAAGGTTTCGACACCCTTAAAAACGTATTTAATTCTCCTTAACAATAGATGTGAGATCTCACAATTCACCTCCCTCCGGATTCATCCTCCTGCCTGGCACATTGCCCAGTGTTTGGATTTGATACTATTTGTAACAATTCAAATCCACCGCTAGCCGATATTATCTATGTGGGTTTCCCTTCTAGGTTTTTCTGTGTTACGGAGAGGTTTCCACACACTGGTATTTAGTTCTCATTCCCAACCGATGTGAATCTCACAATCCATCTTCTTTGAGGCCAGTGTCCTTACTGGCACGCCACCTCGTGTTCACCCTGTTTGAGGCTCAGTTTTCTCGTAGACACATCGCTTGGTGTCTAACTCTTATACCATTTGTAACAATTGAAGGCTAGTGTTTATTTTCTTTAGGTTTCCCTTTCGTGCTTTTGCTCAAGGTTTTTAAAACGTATTTACCAGGAAGAGGTTTCCACACTCTTATGAAGAGTATTTCGTTCTCTCCCCCATCGGGGTGGGATCTCACCGTTTCTTTTGATCTTGAAAGTAAACAAGATTTTGAGGCATATATTTATGAACATGTGTAGGTGCAAAGGAGTGTTGATGATATTTCAATACTAATCACCACCTATGAAGGAACTCACAACCACCCTCTACCTGTGTCAGCCATGGCCATGGCTTCGACCACGTCGGCTGCGGCCTCGATGCTCCTCTCGGGTGCTTCCACCTCGACCTCTCGGCCTGGACTAAACCCTTTGGCGATCGGGACAGCGTCTGCAAATCTCCATGGAATGAACATGTACACAAATTCAAAGCAATTCTACTTGTCAAACTCTTCAATGCTATCTTCTTCTCTAAACCATCCCACAATCACCTTAGACCTCACTTCAAATCCTCCCTCAGCTTCTTCTTCTTCTTCTTCCTCCTCTCCTTTCCACAAAATCCCTTCAACTTATCCCCCAAAATATCCCTTCACCAGCCTTGATTTTGGGTCTTCTCAACCCAACTTCATGTCTTGGAATACTAATATCAACAAAAATGTATTAGGAATGTCATCAGACCTTGCTAAGCAATTCCCTCCCCATAGTAACATCTACCAAGCTTGCCTACAACAATTTGCCAAACCTTCAACTCCTCCACCTCCGCCTCTACCGGACACGATAGCAGCAGCAACCAAGGCAATTACGTCCGACCCGAGTTTCCAATCAGCATTGGCGGTTGCCCTCAGCTCGATCATCGGCGGCGGAAACGGGGGCGAGGCGGTTCAGGCAATGAGTAGCTATGTCCAAGCAGCACAGGGACAAGGAAGTATGGGGTTTCAGGCAGCTCCATCGTTGACATACTCCACATCCAAGAGTCCTTCATCTCCTGGTGACAGTAGAGACGATGATACCAAGTGAAAAGGTGTGGACGATGAATATTTTGAACACTTTCTGAGAGTTGTAAATAACTCATCTTCTTTTGAGGAAAACAACACTCTTAGCCATTGGTTTTGTCAAGAAATGTTCATATATAGACCATTTTTGTTATGAGAATTGATCATTAATTTTAGTTCGCATGAGATTATGGAAATAATTTAATGACGCCAGAAATGAGTTAGATTTATTGATTTTAAAGCTAGGGTTACGATCTCTAAAATATAATCTTTTAATGAGGTGTAGGCTTTAGTATAAAGTTATTTTGAGACGATCTTCTAAATTTTCTCAAAGTCTTCCGGTCATCAAATCTTTTAAATGTGGAGTAATAGATCTTCTAAATTTTCTTGTTTCAGTAGATTTTGTGGTTGAATTTGAAGCTTTTTTGAATTCCCTATCAAAGGCTCTAAATTTATGACCTACTTTATGAATTTGATGGACCTAGAGTTGATTGAATCTAGACTCACCATTTTGTATTTGAACTTAATCGATTTGTTTTAATAGCTTTGAATTATTTAATTTTCCTCATATATTTTCAATGATTTTGAGATAAATTAATCAAATTATATGGACGGATTAACTAACTTAATTCATATCAATATTGGTGTAAGATCTCACAAAGATGGGAGAGAGTAATGAGTGATTGCAAAAACGGTGGCCCCGAATAAGGTGGATTGTAAGATCTCTCGTCGAGGAGAACGAAGCATTATTCTTTAAAAAGGTGTGAAAACTTCTCCCTCATAAATACGTTTTAAAAACTTTGAAGGCAAACTCGAGAGTGAAAACTCAAAGTGAACAATTTTAGCTAACGATGCACTTGAGCTTTGGTGACCATTATTTGATTCAACTTAAGGACACTTGTAAAGTTATAATTGGTCCAAAATATATACATCATTAGCACAGCAGCGTGATTTACAAAATCCAAGCTGAAACGCTTTAGCAACAATGAATCAACTACCATAGATTCCAGTACAATTGATGATAGTAATGCCTCATGTATATATATGTATAAACTATTATGTTTATAACAAGAAGAAAGCACGCACCAAATGACAAAGGCTGACACTTTCACTTCATCACCCCACTTCAAAACCCACACAAATTACAAAAACCAAACAGAATCCCTCATCTTTATATCACTTCTTCTGTCGATGTCACTTCAATTTGGGGAGCCTCCTGCAAGGACGACAGTTCACATCATGATTTGAAGAGATATAGGAAACGAATTGGATTGAGGAGCTTAAGGTTAGAGGAAAAAGAATCGCTATACCAAATTTTCTTTGTTTGATTGCACTGAATCTTCTTCAGGACTCGTGCTGGCTGGAACTGTTAACAAATATAAAAATTTCAGTATGCAATGTTGTAGTAAATGATTGGAACTGTATAGAATCATTGTATTGTACTTACCTTTCTCGCTGAGCTGTTTCTTCACCTGTTTCTTGGATTTTTCCTTTCCTTGAATGGGTTCTTGCTTGTTTGGCCTTTGGGGTTTCTTCACAGGTTTTTTCGCTGTCTCTGAAGTTGAATTTGGAGCAGCATTTTTGTTCCAGAGGCCCCGATTCCTGGGAGTTTTAGTAACATCAGTGCTTAAGGATTTTGGTTTGAGATTTCTAGGCTCCACTGTGGAGGAAGAGCTATGAACTTCATCATCTGAAGACCTTGTTCCCACTTCAGGCCCCTGAGAAAAGGTTTCAGAAACCTGCACTTGCTCTGTCTCTTCTGCTGCATTGTAGCTTTCAAGCAAATCTTTCACTGCTTGTTCACTTGCATTAAGATTGCACCGATCTATGTAGGCCTTGAGTTCATCACGCATTCGGTGAAGAGGCTGTTTTTTATAAATATAGAGTTAACATAAAGAAACGAAACTTCCATAATTGCAAGCTGGGTCAGACTCAAACAGACCAAAGAAGAGTTTCAGAAAACATTATTATTACCTTGCACCCTGCCTCTAATGCAAGTTTGAAAAACCCAAGTGACACCGAATGCTTAGAAGCAGCTTCAGAGAGCTTGATCTGTGATAGCCAATATGATGTAGAACACAGAATGTTGAATGTTTTTCTGCTTGACGACCGTGAAACGTCAGAAACAGGAGTGTCACTTTTCCCCTGGTTCCTCGCAGTCCTCCGGACCTCGGATATTGGTGTAATGTTGCCAACTAATTTTCGAGTTGGGCTTACATTTTTAGTCGGAATTGACAGTCTTCTTGGTGGTTTAGCCGACTTGTCCTTGGCAGATAGATCAAGAACTCCAATACTTTTACTCACACTGGATATAGTTCTACCCCTGTAACTCCAACAAACAATAAATCAATCTTTAGTGCTTTAAACAGACAAGAATTGATGAATAAGGTCAAACAGCACAGTTAGATGCTGCACAAAGTTTAGCTAAAGGTGTAGATAGTTATGATAAATGGAAGGAAGATTCATGATAAGATAAGGAACCACTACAAGAGGATTAAGATTCGAATTACCTTGTTGATCGAATATCTCAAGGCAAGAACATTGTTTGAGATTCGAATCACCCCACAAGCAAGATCGATCATGTCTAGCTTGAATGATTCTTGTTGATCAAATATCTCAAGGCAAGAACACTTGCTTGAGATTCGAATCACTCCACAAACAAAATTGATCATGTCGAGCTTGAATAATTCTACATGTAACCTAAACTACATAGAATTGCAAAGAAACTTAACAATTGGCTAAAGAAGAGCACAAATGCTTCTTTTACTATATTTTCCAAGTCTGCTTACAAATACAACATACATGTCTTTATATAGCCTCAAAATGAAACTATTAGAGGTATTACAATTGTTGTAACATTCATACTTAATGGCCATAATTCGTCATTATGTAATTATAACCTAAAGTAAATAAAAAGTCTTAAAATACCAAATGACTCTAAATTACTCTAAATTGTAACCCACCCAAAATTTATAAGAATCAAACTTCATTCTTCTTCAATGTGACATGAATTGAAACATCTTTTGATAATTTTGACAACCTTTTCTTCACATCTTCATTGAAGCATATAGTATGATTGATGTCTTTTAGTTCATATCAATTCACAATATTCAATTTCCGAACGAGAGAAGAACATAGGTAGACACCATTACCCAATACGAAAGGAAACTGCTAAGAATCGATTTAATCTTAAGCATTCCCCAATTAGTCAACAGGCGACAGCAACGACATATAAAATGCCAAAGCAAATAGCACTATCATCAAAACTATGGAACTATGAGGAGAAATCGTGGATTTTCCATTGATCAACATCACAGTTTATCGGTTGTAAAGATTTGTGACAGTTATTTGAGAGTATCAAACACGATCAAGCCAAATTAAAGTAAAATCTATTGATCAACAAAACCTCCCATCATATGAAATCAGTTAACACAGAAACATCATCATAGAGAAATTAAAGGAGCAACTAAACGCATAAACACCAATCGCGCGAAACAAGTAAATTAGGGTTAGAAATAAACAGAGTAAACCACCTTTTAGAGGCAGAAGAAGGCGGATTCGACAATTCAGGCACAGGAGGCATCTCCTCCTTCGATTTAGTCCCCGATCGCAAAGCATAGCGCTGAAGCTTGGGTCTCGCTGAATTCCCTAACTCATCCAAACCAAAAGGGGAAAAAATCAGCTAAGAAAGAGAATTAAAACAGCAGGCATAAATTTACAGAAGGGAATTCAGCAAATTAAACCTGGAAGTGGAGTGGATTGCTGCTCCTTGATGGGTTCTTCCATGGCTCAGCTTCTCTCTGGAATTCAAAAGTAGAAGTCTCCGCTCTCTCCCCCGCTCCGATTGTAGACGACAAAGATTCTAATGAGTGCAGCTCTCCATTAGGGATTTTATACTCAAATGAGAAAATAAAATAAATATTAAAAAAAAAAGGGATTAGGCGGGAAAGTATAGAAACTGTCATCCATATCTTAAACACAAATGTTTTAAGTTTTAACAATGAACTCGCGCTGTACGAGCGACACGTGTACAGAGTGACTTGTAAATATATGATTTTGTATGAATTAAACGCTGGTTATAAAATGCTAATGATGACACGTGGAGGATTAAGAGAGGGATTAAAGTTTCTAACCGCAAGTCGGAATAAAGAGAAAAAAAACAGACGCCTGCCCCACAGCGACTTGCGGATGCTTAAAGAAAAAAGGATTAAAAAAAAATACGCTCACAAATTCGAATTTCAAATTTAAATTTGTAAGCCGTTGAGATTGAAAGGAACCGTGCTTTTGCAGTTCTGTATAATGGGCCTTCTCTGGGCTGGACTGACCTCCTGGGCCGAGAACCCCCTCTGATGGCGGCCCACCATCATGGCCCAGCTCTGTCTCCTCTAGCGACAATTAGTTCAAGAGGGTAAGAGGGTAAGAGATTCAAACTTTTGACCTCGATCGATGTTATACGTCAATTACGCTAAATTATGATCATGATAGGTCTCTATTCTGTCCCTAAAATTCGAGCATTTAGTTCTAAGATAGGTTTTTGCAGTCTCTATTCCTAAAATTTCCACAAATCTTGATCCGACTAGTATTTGTAATGTTAAGGTTTTGAATGCCAATACAGAAAAATGAGACAACTTTCATATACTCATCTCATCGATAACGACAATTGCAAAATAATGTTCTATAAAAACTTAATAACGAGCATACCCCTCACCAGTGTGACTAGAATGGCTTAAAAATCTCATATACAAAGATGAATACCAGTTTATGATGAGTTAATTTTAATGCTACAAGATAGACATTAGATTATTTTTAGGATTGCTCATCGAATAGTGTAAGGATAACTTCATATCTCTATTAGTTTAAACATCTCATGTACAAAGATGAATATCGATTTCTTGGGAGTCAGTTTTAGTGTTCTAAGATAGACCTTGAATTCTCTTTAACAATGTCTATAATACTCCATAGGAATTAAGAATCTCATCGAAACGAATATCAATTTCTCTAAAAACGGGACGTTGGTTGCAAGATACCCCAAATTCTTCTCTTCTCCTCTACTTCATGACTCCGTTATTCTAACGTTGACCTAAATTTGCTTGGTGCATGACATATTTTAAAAAAAGTTATTAAAACATAATACCAAGTTGTTGTTCATATGATAATGAAGAAAATAAATAATAAAATATTATGCGTAAGTTCTTTAATTTTGTTTTAAACAAATATTATTTTATTTTATTTTCCAATCGCACGAGTTTCCCAAACCAGTTTTATTTTATTGTTTTTTTTTTATTTTTAAATAATTAAAACATTTATATTATATAGTAAATAAAATTTAAATTTTCCCAAATTACCATCTCATTAATGTCACTCGAGATTTATTATATAAATCAATTCTGAAAAAATACACTATTGACTTCGCTTTAATTCATGAATTACGAATTAATTAATAGCTTATACTATAATTAAAATATGAAAATGTGATAGAATATTTCAAGATTAAAAAAAAAACAAAGTTAATTTGCACTAAAATGCACCCATCTTAATAAAACATTTCTCAATTACAATTAAATATTCATATTCAAATAATTATTTCTAAGTAATCAAAATATCCCCAAATTTCAGTATTCTATATATATTTTAATATTTTGTAGTTCTTAATTTAATTATTCATCAACGACATATAAATTTATGCTCGAGAAGAGTAAGGATTTAATGTTTTTTTTTAAAAAAAATGCGTCAGGGACATTTTCGTAATTTCGTTTCGGTCCTTTCGGTCGCTAGCCCGCCGGAATAATACCATTTTTGAAAATTATGCCAAGAGAGGGGTAATATCGTAATTTTAGGATATAGCTTCGACCCCAACTAAAGGCATTTCCGCTGTCCAAAGAGAACTTGCGAAACAGAGGAGCTAGAAGACAGGGGACTTAACAGTTTTGTTCGTTTGGGAAGTTGGAACTTTGGGTAGTTGTTGGAAAGACGAAGAAGGGCCTTGAGGATTCTGGTTGCTGAGGTTCTTTTCTTTTCTTGGGGTAAAAATGGCGGATCATTCTGTTGGTCCCGCCAGTTTCTGGACTCAAGCCAATGCTCTGCTCAGGAAGAACTTGACTTATCAGGTCTTTCTAACATGACGGATCATTTCTCATTTATGTTTTCGATTTCTATATGAAATCCATAGAACTAGGGTTCTATGATGTGGGTTTTCGTTTGGAGGTTCTTTAATCTCTGGAACTGTTATTCTTTTCTTTATTATGTTCATACAATTTGAATTGGTTTGTTGATTTCTTTGGCATTGGCTATTCCTGCTTGCTTCTTTCCAACATGTGTAACTCATTTTTTATAACATGGGATTCAGCAAAGTAGTAAACCCTAAACATGTGTAACTCATTATGTTCGCCTCATTTTGTTCCCATTTCTCCTGTGTTTGTTACTTGTACTTCTTCAATCATTGATCAACAATGAATTGGACAAGCCCAAATACAGATGTGGTTGTACATGTATTGATACTAATGCAGATGGTACTTGTGAAGAAGTCTGTGGAATTCAATATTCAACTTTGGAACAAGCTGCCAGTTGCCCAATTGAAAGCCCACCCGAATGGCCTCCTTTGTTGCATATGCCAGCTCCCGAGTTTCGCGCTGTTAGAGCCAGTTTTAATCCACTTATGGACTTACCGGACGAGTCATGCAGGCCAACGGGGACGTGTCCTGCAACTGTACTTTTCACTGGAACTAATCAATCTCTTGGAGAAAGTATGCTAATGAATAATCAGTCTTTGCATATGCAGTTGAATTCATTGATGTTTTTATAGTTCTTCATGGATATTTATGATCTGTCTCTTTGTTTGGCTAGTTCTGGTTGGAAGCATGTTCACAAATTCATTCAATCTGAATTCCAACAATGTTTCAGATAGTTTAGGTTTTAATGTGGTGGTGAGTAGTTAAATCTTTGTCTCTTCCCATAGTATCATTTTGATCTTGGTCTGTGTATTCAGTACTTCTATCTTGAACTGCTCAACCTTGTAGTTTTTTTAAATGCCCAGGGCTCAAGCACGATGATTAAGGATAACAACTTTCTGGAGCCAGCTTTTGCTTCAAACCTTCCTTTGTATAATGTGCAACTTCAGTGCACAGGAAACTCTTCTCTGACTGTTTCTGTTCCTCTTATGTCTGTTGAAAAGCCTGAAGGTAGGCTCATTATTTTAGATATATTTAGATCGGTTAGAAATCACGAATTTCCATAATGGTATGGTATTGTCCACTTTGAGCCATATCTCTCATGGTTTTACTTTTGGTTTCTCCAAAAGGCCTTATACCAATGAAGATAGTGTTACTTAAACCCATGATTTTCCTCTTAATTAGCCAACATGAGATTACTCCTCTCAATAATCTTCAGTAATCCTCCCCTCGAACAAACTACATCATTGTGAGGTCCCACATCGATTGGAGAGGGGAATGAAATATTCTTTATAAAGGTGTGGAAACCTCTCTCTAGCAGACGCATTTTAAAAACCTTGAGGGGAAGCCCGAAAGGGAAAGCCAAAGAGGACAATTTCTGCTAGTGGTGGGCTTGAGCTGTTACAAATGGTATCAAAGCTAGACACCAGACAATGTGCCAACGAGGAGACTAAAGCCCGAAGAGGGTGGACACTAGACGGTGTGTCAGCGAAGAAGCAGGGCCCGAAGGGGGATGGATTAGGGATCCCACATTTATTGGAGAGAAGAACGAGTGCCAGCGAAGACGCTGGGCCTCAAATAAGTTGGAGAGGGGAACGGAGCATTTTTTATAAGGGCGTGGAAAGCTCCCCTAACAGACGCGATTGAAAAACCTTGAGGAGAAAAACCCGAAAATGAAAGCCCAAAGAGGACAATATCTGCTAGCGATGGGCTTGGACTGTTACAACCTTAGAGTGATGTTAGGAACCGCAACTCTTCACAATAGTATGATATTGTCCACTTTAAGCATAACTTCTCATGGCTTTGCTTTTGGTTTCCCCAAAAAGCCTCATACCAATGGAGATGTATTCCTTACTTATAAATCCATGATTATTCTCTTAATTAGCTAACGTGGAACTACCTCCCAATAATCCGTTCCCTCAAACAAAATACACCATAGAGGCTCCCCCGAGGTCTATGGAGCCCTCGAACAACCTCCCTTTAATCGAGGCTCGACTCCTTCTTTGGAATCCTCGAACAAAGTACACCATTTTTTCGACACTTGAGTCACTTTTGACTACACTTTCAAGGCTCACAACTTCTTTGTTCGACATTTGAGGATTTTATTGACATGACTAAGTTAAGGGCATGACTCTGATACCATGTTAGGAACCACGACTCTCCACAATGGTATGATATTGTCCACTTTGAGCATAAGCACTCATGGCTTTGCTTTTAGTTTCCCCAAAATGCCTCGTACCAATGAAGATATGTATTCCTTACTTATAATCAATGATCATTCCCTTAATTAGCGAACATGGGACTCCCTCCCAACCACTCTCAATATTGTCATGCAAAAACAAAAATTAGAGAAGGCTGAGTTCAAAGCTAGTGCGTAATACTCATGATCAGACACACTTATCAATCCACACAATCAGTTATAATAAGATAAGAAAAAGGAGTGTTATTGATTTAGTCCTATGTATTCAATATTCTTTATTTTTTTCTTGCTTGAATGTAGAGGTTATATGTGTTCAAGGCTTACATTTGCGGCGCAACAGTGTTTCTGAGGTCAATGATGAGATGTATAAAGGATTTCATAAGGGAAATTCAGAGGGGAAAGTTAATGAAATCCTTGCAGGTTGATTTACTTGATACCTATTGCAGCATTGACATAGTAACTTTCTTTTTTCTTTGGCTGTCATGTTAGAACTCACGGTTTTACTCTTTT